CCCCCTTCACCACCCACAACCCCCCTCCCATCCAAGGAACATCAATGCCCCTTTCATCCCCACTTGGCAGGGTCTATTGGAAAAAAGGAGGGGCCAAGAGGGAGGAGGTGACCCAGAGTAGAACTAGTCAGGATAAAACCCAGCTTTCAACAACCCCAAATCTAAGGAGCCCCCTACATTCCCTGATTGAAGCACCCAAGTTTTCCTCTATTCCCTTCCCCCACCCATTTCAGAACTTTTTTCCCACAAATTTGAACAGAAGCTGGGTACCCTGGCTCCTCACCTAGTCCCCTCCCCGCTGTGGATGCCAGTTTAACAGTCTCGTGGACTAGGAAAACCTGCTGGAATTAGGATCGTACATAAAGATGTATAGGACAGGAGAGAGATCTCACCAGCCCTCCTGAAGTGAGGGAGAAAGAAAGTCTAGAATGTGAACTTCTGCTTGCTGCCTTCTGTTGTGTGTCTAAAGTAGTCTTACTTGGAATGGGGGAGGGAAGGACCTGGAGGTTCCAGCATCTAAATTCGTCTCTGGGTCAGGATGACTCAGGGGGAACCTGATAAGGGGCCTAGGCAGGGGTGTGGGGCGGGCAGGAGGTAGGAAATTTCCATTGGGATCTGTTTACTTCCTAGGACTAGGGGTCTCAGCCCGCTGCATACAGAAATGAGACTGCTTCTACCATAAGATAGGGTTCTCTGCCAGGGCAGGGCCCAGCTCAGCCCTGGTGTCAGTAGCCCAACAAGGATAACAGCTCTCTAACTTCCTTCTCTTGGGTCAGAAGCAGCTTCAAACTGTACCTTCAACTAAGTGACAGTTTTAAGTACCTGCTATGTGCAAGCCACTGTATGGATGTAATTCAAAGAAGTGTGAAGTCTAGTCATACCTTCTCTAGAAGCTTATAATGGAATAGCTAAGAGAAGGTATAAAGAAAAAGTTTAAAATATATATAAGATTAATTGTTTAATAAGTCCTATGGCAGTACTTTCTCACCCTTCTCAAGTGGGAGATCAGAGACGTTCATTCCCACATGATGGTTGTAGTATCCCCTGATGGAAACAAACCATGAATTCAGCAATACTTTCAAGTAAATTTATACAGTATTCTGATAATCACAACATCCTTGTATATAGTAATTCCTACATGTGGAAAACATATTATTTATTCAGTTGACAATAAATCTTCTTTGTACATAAAGAATCCAGGGGCCCTTGCAATAATTCAGAAATCCTCACCCCAGAAGGCCGCAACCTACCAGACTAGGAAACACTGTCTTAATATAATATGGAGGAGGAAAAGGGTTTGGTTCCTAGGGTGAAGCACCCTTTGAGGAGTGCAGCCATGGGTATTTGGGTAGGACAGAGGGGCATTCTGTCCAGGAAGAGAGAGCACGAGGGAAAGTTTGAGAGCAGAAATACACAAGTTATTTTGAAGAATGGAATAATAGCTACTTCGTGCAAAGTACTACCCATATATTATCCCCCAATACCATCAGGTAAGTAGTATTGTCCTTACTGTACAGATGAGAAAACTGAAGCTCAGAGATGTTGCCCAAGCCAACCAGCTGGTAAATGATATATCTAGGACTCAAACCCCCACTCAGATCTATTTCATTCCAAGGCTCTGCACTCTCCACTATGAAGTACTCCCCTCAAGCACATGTGATTAGGCCGTTATGGCCTCAGATGAAGAATAATGTTGATAAGAGGTGAGTGATGTTTGGTAAAGTAGACTGGGGTCAAGTGTGAATGTTCTTGAATGGCAGGCAAAAAAGTTTGGCACTGAAGATCCATAGAGTGTTCTTGAGCAGGAGTAATGGATAAGAAATAGTTTTGTGAAAATTAATCTGATGGGAAGGTAATAGAGATGGATTACAGGTGGATAAGTGTAAAACATTCAACTTAGGAAAGTGATCATTTAGAAGCCAGAGAAATCAACTAGTTATGAGATTACAGGGACTTCAAGAAGTGTGGGAGTAATAGGAATGGAAAAAAAGGAATGGATATGTAAGCCAAGGAAAAAACACACAAATTGGTGACTGATTAGACAGGAAGGGGAGGGAAGTCACCAGCCTAGTTGCTCTACTTTAGGATCCCTTAAGTTCATCTATCTTCTGGCTAGAGAAAAGGCCAAAGAGGAACCCCTTAGAAACATCCTTGACTTGCTCAGAAATTTATTTGAAAGATTTTCAAAGGCTGAGACTCACCCTCACCCTGACCTATTTCACCCTGGCCCACCCAGACCTGGCCCACTCCAAGACCATTTCCATGTTAAGTCCAACAAGGATACCATTTGAAGTCCTATTGTGATGGGTCTGTTAAAGCCAATGAGATCCTCCATGTTGGCCTGGATCTAGAGACTAGAAAAAAAAGTAATATTTGACTGATGCAAACCTGTTTTTATTAACCCCTTCCCTGGGCTCTTTTTCGCCTTTGTTGAGGGTCAGGGCATAAGGCGATTTGACCAGGACCCAGTGAGCTGGGTCAAGCCCAGCTGCAATAATGAGGGAAGTTTGATCATCTGGAGAGATAAGAAGTTTGGCAACTTGTTGAATGCAACATTCAAGGTAGAGAAACCAAAAGACCCCTCCCCCGAAGACTAGGGCTATAGCTGGGACTGGAGATGATGTCATTTAAAAACTACTGAGGTCATAGAAGCTTCTCTTTCTTCCCCTGTCTCCCCACTACCACATAATCTCCCCAACCAGCTGCCTCCCACATATGCACACACTTATATAAAAAGGGTAGGAAGGGTCAGACACCATCTGGGTACTCTTAGGTACAAAAAGTGGTGGAGATGTGGGTGGTGGCAGTGATTACTCTGAATGTAGGATCCACACTAGTATCCCTAGTGCTAGGAACAGTAGGTGGGAAGAGGGAAGAGAGGAACAGGGAGGAGGGGGGTTGTTCCTGTTGCTGATTCAGATTTTATCTTAACCCCCATCCTTCTTACTCCTCAGTCCTCCCTGCCCCTCCTCCCTCACACCACCCCAGTCTCTCCCCCTACTGTCCTCCCCCACCTCCAGGTGATCATGGCATCAGAAGCAGAAAAAACATTCCAACGGTTTGCTGTCTTCGGAGAATCATCAAGTGGTAGCACTGAAATTAACAACAAAAACTTCTCCAAGCTGTGCAAAGATTGTGGCATCATGGATGGCAAGACGGTTACCTCCACTGATGTGGACATTGTGTTCAGCAAAGTCAAGTAAGGGACCAAAGATGGGAGGAGGGGTTGTGAGTAGAACAAACAAGATAGTGAGACATGGGAGGCTTTATGTGATAGAACCCATTTGTAATGGGTCTACTGAACATCTACTGGATACCTGACACTCTATTTTCCATCTGTCCTCAAGACACTCAGTGGCCAAGTCTGAGTAAGGGGAGGGATGGACCTTGGCAGGTGATGGGTTCATGTTCCAGAGTTCCTGGATTTCTTTCTTACTGACCAGGGCCAAGAATGCCCGAACCATCACATTCCAACAGTTCCAGGAAGCAATGAAGGAACTGGGCCAGAAGCGGTTCAAGGGGAAGAACCCAAATGAAACCCTGGAGGACATTTATAAACTCATGGAAGGCAAGGACCCAGCTACCACTGGTGTTACTGTGAGTGACGTTCTTCATCCCTAACACTTGACCCTACTTCCCTAAATCCCTGCTGCTCCATCTCTCCTCCCACCCTCCAATAACCCAAATGCCTACCAGCAGAGGTACTGTATGTAGGGAGACAGGGCAGAGAGCCTCTAGGGCACTGTTGGTACTGGAACTGGCTTCAGAGATCATCCAGTAGTTTCAGAGGTGAGGAAACTGTGGCCCAGAGCGGGGAAGTGACTTGCTTAAGGTCCACAGCTATTTTAATAACAAAATTTAGACTCATTCTCAAGTGTCCAGTATGCAAGCGCAACAACTAGGGCCTGGTGGACACTGAGTGCAGAGGACTTGGCCCCTGACCCCATTCTTCTTCCTGCTCTTATATAAGGTCTAATCTCTGGCTTTCTGTCTCTCACCCACCCTCTATTCCCTCTCTGTCCCCTCTCTACTAAAAGCTCTTTCTGCTCTAAATTTCAAATAAGACCTACCTATAGTAGTAGGCCCTATGGGACCTACCAAATAGTAGGAAGAACCTAGCATATTGGGTCTGGGGTCAAAGTCCTCTGGCTATAGCCTCATCATAATAACTCCTCTGGCCCTGTCCGGGTGGCTCAGTCAGTTGGAGTGTCATCCCATACACCAAAAGTTGTGGGTTCGATTGCTGGTCAGGGCACATACCTAGGTTGCGGATTCAGTCCCCCATCAGGGCACATATGGGAGGTAACCGATCAATGTTTCTTTCTCACATTGATGTTCCTCTCTCTCTCTCCCTTCCTCTCTGTCTAAAATAAAAAAAATTAAAATATATCCTCAGCTGAGGATTAAAAAAAGAAAAATTTTAAAATAACTCCTCTGGAAGCAGAAAAATCCACACACAGTCCACTCTCATACACCAGACTCGTCCTACCTCACCAGTGGATGGCTTTGGCCACAGTTCCTACCCACAGCCACATCTGGGCCCTGAAAAATCAGCACCGTGCCATTCATAGAACAAGAGCTCTAAGCCCTAGGGGGAATCAAAGACCATCTTAAGAAAACGGGTATAAGTGTGGAGGGTAAAGGAGAGGGATCAGACCCATCATCCTCTGGCTTGCAGAAAGCAACAACCGTGGGAGGAGTGAGCCGGCTGACGGACACCAGCAAGTACACTGGAACCCACAAGGAGCGCTTTGATGAGAGTGGCAAGGGCAAAGGTATTGCAGGAAGGGAAGAGGTGACCGACAACTCAGGCTATGTGGGTGGCTACAAGGGTGCTGGCACCTATGATAAGAAGGACAACAAATAGGGAGCAGCCTTACTTAGTCTGCCAGCCCTCAACCCTGCATCTTTAACACCAGGGAGCTCAGGGAACAATAAACATTTGTGTGTGCAGCAGCTAACGAGTTCTGTTTTCAACCAGGGTAAGGGAAGGGTGGGCCCGTTGGTGTAGAGAGAGAGAGGAGAGGAGAGAAAGCCCAAGGAGTCAGGGTTTCCAGCTCTCTATCTTTTGCCTTACTTAGCCTGATACCTCCAAGCCAGAAGTTAGCATTCTCTCCACAACTGCTTCTAAGATCAGGGCTGAGGAATATATTTGGAGATAAGAGATGAACCAGATGTGGAGGTAAAAGTACTTGCTGCTTACATTCACACACCACTGGTATTCACCCCTTCTCTACCTACCAAAAGGGAGTAGCACTTCCTGATTTGATGTAGGATGACTCAGATACCACCAACCAGACCCCTGTCCCTCCACCTTCCTCATCTGTTGCAATCTGAGTTTTGTTGTGGGGAGAAATGCAAGCCAGCTAGGGTGGGCCAAGGATCTACTTAGCCTTACTCCTGTTACCAGTTTGTTCTAGAGCTGGGAAAAGGGAAAATCCATTTTTAACACTCAGCCAGAAGTGAGTTTTACCCCACAGCCCCTCCACGATGGTTCGGATGGATCAGAAGATCCTACTGACAACTAAAGATCACGCAGGAAGATGGCCAGAGGTAGGTGGTCTCCAGGACTTCAAGAACAGGAGTTCTGGTGCACTAAGGAAAAAGGAATGAAATCAAAACTGAATTCTATGTGTTTTTTATCTTTTTATTTTTAATGATTATAGATTCACAGGAAGATGCAAAAATAGTACAGAGAGGTTCCATGTACCCTTCACCCAGTTTCATCCAATGGTTATATCTTACATAACTCAGATGTGACTTTGAAACCTATGACTACAGCCAAGCCCCCCTCACCCATCTTGTCAGCAGCAGATCCTAGAGTCTAGAGAATGTCAGGAGGAGCTTTGGGAAGGAACAGGACTCAGGAATCTTTGGGGGATAGATCAGAGAAAATAACTTGAAACTCCAGTAAGCCAAGGTGAGAATTGTGGAAAAGAGGTTGTAGAAGACAGAGTGACTAAAGGAGGCTGGAAACATGGGGGAGACACACTGGGCTCCATGGTAGGAGGAGGGAGGAAAGAGCAGGTAGCTTGAAGAAAATGATTTCATAGAGAGGAGCAGACAGGGAACTGAGGGGGGCGTTCTGAGAAAGTGAGGCTAAAATGAACCTAAAGGTCTCAAGGAGGTCCCTATAACTAGAGATACCCATCATGTGGGTGAGTGAGTGGAGGGGGTCATAAGGAAATGGGGAAGACTGAAAAGAGAAGGGTGGTGGGGATGGGGAATTGAAACATTGAGCTTGGGTGCCTGTTGCCATGGTGTGAGCTGAGGCTCTGGGCCTCCATCCAGGATTCAGTATCTGGCCCAGTGGACGGACAGTCAATGCCAACTGGACACAGTCAGCTTCTTGGGTGGGTAAAACTGTCTGTAGGAGAGGAAGGATGATGGGGGTTGGGGGAGGTAAACAAGTTAGAAAGAACCTAGAAGACAATATGACTTTGCATGGTTACTAAAGCTCTGAACATTTTTCTCCCTCCCTGGTCTCTTGGGAGGGAACCCTGCCTACCTTCAAAGTCGGGGGAAGTCCTGTACCAGGAATCAGAGTTTTGGAAATGGAACAGGCTGGTCTGAGGTGACAGTAGGGGGTAGTTCAAAATGAAAGTTTCCCTTCCCTAGTAGAGGCCAATGATACCTATCGGTTTAGCATCATACTTTTGAGAACAGAGCAGGTAGATCCTTTGGTTGGTTAGGGTGCCATTGTAGCGGCAGCTGGTGGGAGGCTGTTTGGGGGACAGAGAGCAGATTGTGAGGGGGAAGGCTTCCAGGGTGACTGTACAGTATTCATTGTAATTCTCACAGAAGCTCTCACACTGCTTGCAGGACCTCTCAATGGCTTTCCAGGGGGCATGTATCACATAATGGGTCTTTGGGCAATACCAGCTTCCCTCTCTGCCCCTCACATAGGCCATGAGACCGTTACAGTAGCCCTGGAAACCCACTGGGTAGTTAACCTTGGGAAAGTCAATGTGTAAGTCGCGAAAGTTCTTGATGGCAGTCTCCAGTCTGACGTTCATGACCAGAGTTGGTCCTAAAACAAGCTGGACGAACAGGAGCCAGGCCACAGCTGGTGCCATTCTTCCTGCTGGTAGAGTTAAGGTGGTTGGAGGCAGACGTGGGCCTAGAGTGGCTGTCTTCCCTTTCCTGCAGCCTCCAGCATTCCCCCAGCCTTCCCTGTGTTCCTTCCCCTACACCCTAAGAGCTTGACTGTACCTCAAAGATCATCCAGCCCTAGACCTCATGCCCCAGAGAGAGGAGACACTTATCCAAGTTCATTCAGCTGGTCAACCACCTTCAGCCATTCCCTACTTTCCCTTGGTCTCAGCCTCACCCCGTCATGAGCTGTAATACTTACAGAATAAGAGGTCCAACTGGTCCTTGGGTAAGCAATTCTTCTTGAGTATCCCTTCTGGTTAAAAAAAAAAAAAATGCAGAAGCAATAAAAGAAATAGGCTAGCTACGATTCTCTGATTGCTGTGGAGGAAGGACAGGAGCTGGAAGACAAGCAGGGCAGCAGGCAAGGATTCTTCTTGCCTGAGACCAAAGACAGCCCACAGGTGAGAAGAAGCTGGAAAGGTTTCTAGATAAAGACCAGTATGGAAGGAAGGAATGTCCCCTTAGTTTGAGGAGTCCCTGTGCTGAAGGGGTTGGATGGGTGGGAAGAAAGAGATAGTGCAATCTGGTTTCCTCCTTTCTGGTGTCATAAGAACACTTAGTTCCAACCTCCTTGCCAGAAGTGCCTAAGTTCTTGGGCTTTCTTTGATGTCCATAGGCCTTGCTCCTGTGGAAAGGTGAGAAGAAAAGTACCACCATGTTTCTGAGGAACAAAGTGCTGCAGACTGTTCCCAACCCTTAGAGAACAGAGTGTCTGCCACTCTCTTATCCCACTCACAGGAACCCACGCACATGCAACAGCCTCCCACAAAAGTGATGATGCACTGATAATCAAAGACGTCTTTGTGAACCCCCACAGTCCCCATCACCAACTTCACAACAATCACAATGACACAATCACACTAATCCCTTACCTATAACTTCAGGCCCTTTTGGAGTCAGGGCACACCTGGAAATTTTTTCTTGCTGGCCCTGAAGCTTCACACTTGTCCTTTGGATTAGACTGCATAGCTTGGACTGAGATGGCTTGGTGTGGGCCATGTGAGCCTAGTGGGTCAGATTCTTGCTATTGTTTTTTATGTTGGGGAAAGGGCTGGGCTCCTAACTCTCTTTTTCATCAACACTTGCCCCTTCATCAAAAGCAAAGAGCCTGCCAGCCACAGTCCTTGACTTCCACAGGCCCCTCAGCCCAATTTGGATATGACCCAGGTTGTGGGCTTCCTCTCAGGAGAGCCTACCACAGTCTCCCTGGAGAGCAGGAGCAGGGAATCAGACTACAGAGCTCTGAGTGCTCCAAAGCCAATGTGTAGTTCGGGGGGGGGAGGGGGGGTGCAGAGAGACTTACTGAGGTTCCTCACTCAGAGCCCCCATGACTTGCTCTTTCTGACAGCACAAACTAGAGTCCAAAACTGAACTCATCCTTTCCACAACTTGCTGCTTCTCTGTATTGTCTATCTCAGCTCCCTCAGTAACCTATACAAGAGATCTGAGAGTGATCTTATACCTCTTCCTCCCCCTAACCCCACCTGTGGGGAGGCAATATCTACACGGCAGTTGAGAGCAAGGATTTTGAGTAAAACAGACTAGAAATTGAATCCTGCTCTACTGTTTCCAGGCTGTGCACTGTCCATCTAAGTTTACTGAAGCACCATAATCTTCAGTTTCCTCATCTGTTAATCAGGATAATATTTTGTACCTTGTGGCAGTATTAGGATACATTCGTTAAGATGTATATCAAGAGCTTTTAGTCCAGTGCCTGGCACATGTTGACTCCAGGCACTGGACTAAAAACGAGCATGAGTCTATCAGTCATGTAGCCCTGGAAATCTTAGCTAAACTTTTCCTAAACCCATCCCTTCCATTCCTATTTCTTCCCCTGCTGCGTCTCTCCCCTTTCCTTGACACCAGACAAATTCCAACTCCAGTAAGGCTCTACCCCTCATAGAACTTAAGACTTTCCATGACCTGGCCCTTGCTATGTCTCCAACTGCATCTCCATGCCTGCCTGCTTCCCCTACTCTGCCCCCCCCCCATGTCCTTGCCCACATCTCCTCCTTCCTCTCTTGCCTCCATCAATTCCACTGAGCTAGCTCATCGGAAGACTCAGCCCAGAGATCCTGTATAAGAAGCCTCTACTTGGAAGAGCTCTCCAGGGAGTGTGTACAGCCAAGCAAGTGAGGGGAAAGCTCACACAGGCAAGTGTCTCACTGTGTCCTTCAGGCTGGTCTACAAACCAACACTGAGTGGGAGCCCATGCCCAGAGATACCGGAGCCTGGCTGACTCAAGTCTTTGTTTTGAGGAAGCTTACTGTACTGTGTGGTCCCCACCTCAAAGCATGCCACTACTTCCCTGTTTGCTCAAGGCTGCAACTTCCCTGAGAAGAGAAAGGGGCCTTTCATGTCTCTTGGTTTTCTTCTTCTTTCATTCACTACCCACCTACCACCACTCACCTCTGCACGCACAATTACAGAAATAGAGCAGCGCCTTGTAGAGGAAAGAGTTCAGGACTTGATATTGGATAACCTACTGAGTTTTTGTTTCTTCTATAAAATGGGATTAATACCTTCCTTACCTCATGAGGCTACAAGAATAGAATGAGATGATCAGCTTGAAAGTGCCTTTTAACCATTAACCAATTTTAAATCGATAACTGGGGATGGTCTCCTAGATTTCATACCAACTCATGTTTTTTCCCTAATTCACTGAACATCTGCAAAGCTTCTTTCATTCCCCAAATGAGCCAAGTGACCTGCCCCCATCATGCTCTGCCAACCTAGAGCCCCATTAACAACTGACTTAAAATTCATCTTCGCAAAGCCTTCTATTATTAGCCATGCCCCATGTTAATTACTCTGAAATATTTTTTAAATAGTTAAATATCATCTGAAAAACACTAAGACAAATTTGGTGGGGATATATAAAGGTAAGTAAGACAGTTCCAGTCCAGATTAAATTTACAATTCAATAGGAAAGACACACATATGAGTATATGTTACAAAGGCATGAGCCACAGGACCAGGAAAAGTGCTGAGTGTGCAATGGGCTTTTGGTTTTTTAATTGCCATCCTAGTGGTCTGGTCTTTAAAATCCTATCCTAGAGGTGTTGATCCATAGGATTGTTTCTTCCATTCTGACATTCTTGTCATGGTTTCATCTGCTCCCTAAGCCTGAGGTTTATGGAATTGTTACCCCATTACACTGGACTTTACATACACAAGAGTTATCCTAGAGATGAAGAAACTACATTTTAGAGAGGGACAGAAGCTGGCTCAAGATCATAAGACTAATTCAGTGGCTCTCAAGGGGGAGAAATTTGGCTGTGCTGAGAGACATTTTTTCATTGTCACAACTGGGAGGTGCTACTGGCATCTAGTGGGTAGAAGCCAGGGATGCTGCTAAACATCCAGCATTACCCAAGACAGCTCCCACAACAGAGAATCATCCAAACTGAAATGTAAATAGTGCTGAGACTGAGAAACCTGGCCTTATGAGAGAATCACATTTCCTAGCAAGTGCAGACTTTTTTATTATACCTTATATATTAAAAAGGGTTGGTAAATATCCAGGACTTAGAAATATGTTTGTTAGGCTTTGCTTGTAATGGTACTGGGTTTTCTATCAGCAAAAGGAGTACTGAGAGTTCACCACTAAAACAATTTTGGGTTATTTTTCTTATAAAGGTGACCCTATGCATGTAGTCATCTACACACCCTCTCCCTCCACCCCTCCCCAAGGGTAAGCATTTCTAGAACAACTGGCTAGAGAGGCAGATGCAGGGGTGATTTCCTATGACTGAGGGGAACACCCAAGACTTTTCCCGGAATGAGCTCACCTCAGTCTCAGTGGAATCACTTTTTGCCCTGTTAAACTCAAATTACTTAAACAGCATACTGTGTTATGGACAATTCCTGGGTTGTCCTTGAACCTAAAGGATTGCTTCTTATCAGAGCTTCACTTCAACCTTGGGGTTGATGTCTAGGAGCTACACTGTCAGTTCCACAATCTGCTGACCAACACTATGGACTGGTCATGTCCCCATGTGAGACTGGGATCATTCAGGGGCAGAGTGAATACCTTCTAACCCAGAAGCTGAATCGGTTAGGGTCACTTATCTTCAAGGCATTATACTGTATCCTTTGGGAGGTACAAAAGAAATATAACAGCTCTGGCCAGTGTGGCTCAGTTGGTTGGAGCATTGTCTCAATTTCCTCTCAGGGGACATACCCAGGTTGTGGGTTCAGTCTCCAATCAGGGCATGTGCAGGAGGCAACCAATCAATGTTTCTCTCTCTCTCGCTCTCTCTCTCCCCCTCCTTATCTCTAAAATTAAAAAAATGAAGAAGTGTAATAAATGATCCTTGTCTTCTGGGAATTGACTCTAAATTGGAGGAAAATAATAAATCCATTTGAAGAAATAACCAGTGATTCAAGGCAGAAAGTTATACATCTTAAAGACAGTAAATGTGGGAATTTAGAGGTGAGAAAGATCCCTCTAAATTGGGAGAATCTGAGCAACTTTTGGGGGTAAGGGTCATTCTGGAACCTTGTGGTGGGTCTCAAGAAACAGTTGAGTTAAGTGGAGATAAAGAGAATTATGAAAGGTATATCTGAAAAAAAGAAAAGTCCCGCTGGCATGGCTCAGCAGTTGAGCATCGACCTATGATCCAGGAGATCTCGGTTTGATTCCCGGTCAGGGCACATGCCCGGTTCCCAGCTCAATCCCCAAGGGGGGCGTGCAGGAGGCAGCTGATCAATGACTCTCTCATCATTGATGTTTCTATCTCTCCCTTCCTCTCTCTGATATTAAATTTAAAAAAAGAAAAAAGAGAGAAAACCAGCCTGGTTGGGGTTGAGGCACTCAGTGGAAGTCAGAGAGAAAGCTGGAAAGACAAGTTTGCCAAATTGTGGCAGACCTTGAATATCAGGCTAAGGAATTTATATTTTATTCTGTGTGTAAATGGGAGCTGACAATGGCCCCTCGTAAGGGAGGGCTCAAGCCCAGGTCAGGTTCCCCTCTCTTACTTCTTGGCTTGACTCAACAAGACACTGGCCTGGGAACCAGTGATTCCAACTTTCTGTCAGTACTGCCTCCTCTAGACCCACAGCTGTTTCAGGAAAGGTCATGAGAATTCAAAGACCCAAAAAAAGTTCCACATCTGACCCCAATTTGCTGTTTGTTTCACTTTCCCTGTCTATGCAGTTGAATCCATTACCTTTATTTACCCTAGGAGCAACAAAGTTAGGATCACAGAACTCTCATCTGCCCCTGCTTGGATGGAAACTCTCATGGGCTTTCCATGGATATCCAGAGGCTGTGTGGAACTCGGGGAGAGGGGGCTGGGCTCTGAAGGGCGGGCACCTGTCCAGGCCCAGCCCCCCTCTCTCCCAGCCTCCCCACCCCTCAGCGCAGGTTAGAGGAAGCGGCAGCTGTTGTCCTGTGGGGAAAACAGGCAGAGTTCCACCTGGCACCGCTGGGGTTTTCACAGCACTCGCCCCAGTGACTTCACACACACACACACACACACACACGCACACACGCACGCACGCACACACACACACACGCACACACGCCAGTGGCCTGCGGAGAAAGGCCAAGAGCAGCGACTGGTGATGGAATGGGAAGGAGGCTGGGGTAAGGAGCTACCTCCTGCCCCCAGATAAAGGCTGCTTGTGGGAGGGGCTCTCTTCCCTCCCATTTCTCTCCCACCATTTTGTCTGCTCCCCCTTCTCTCAATTTTCTCTTCTCCCTCCTGCCGGACTCCCTGACCAGCCCTGGGCCTGATGCCTGACTCCTTTGGTTCTCCCTAGCCTTGTCTCCCCCTTCCTCCATCTTTTCCTCTTGCCCCATGCATGTTGTGAAGGAAAAGTGGCAAAATGATCTTACCGAGCGCCAAGGGAAGCAGCTCTTGGAAGCTGGATGGTTTAAGCAAACAAATAAATAAAAGTATGGGTTTCAGCGCGAATCGGGCAGAGGGTAGGTTTAACTCAGATTTCATGTGCAAACCTAAACCTTTACTCTCCCTTCCCTTTGACCTGAGGGCTGGGTTTATTTTACCTTCACACAGCACTAAGGCAGCCCCTGGAGAACCCAGCAAAATGGAGTGAGCAAACTAGGATAATTACAATGACAGGAAAACACAAGCGCAGGGGGCAGTGGGAGTCGCGGTTTGGAAACATCTCACTCTGGAATAATGAGAAGTGAGAAGCGGCCTGGGTGAGGAATTCAAATGAGCTCTTGGCCTCCCACCCCCTCCTGTAACTCCAGCCTCCAGTCCAGGGCTGGGCTGGGCTGTGCTGATCTGCATTCTATCCACGGTCGGCTTTAAACCAGGGATTTTATCTCCACACATTTGCATTTCTACAGCAGCAGAGACATAATTCTCTATCCAGAAGTTCAAACTGCAGAGATTCAGGCACCTTAACAAAGCAGTGAGTGCTGTCCCTAGAGCCAAGGCCTCACTAAGGGTGAGCCACAAACTTGCTCCTGGTTCTCTGTTGCCATCTGGTGGTGTTTCCCATCTCTAACACCAGGTTTTCTTCGGAAGATCCTCGGGACCCACGGCCGCACTCTCCCTCTACTAAAATGAGGTCCCCTGGCCTCAAAACAAACATTCAAATCTTCCTGACTCGAAATCCTAACTTCTGGACCAGAACACAAACCTCATGATCAAGATGGTTTATGTGGCCTCTCTATGGTTGCAATCCACACAACAGCCCGGGGATCTTTAAACACATAGGCCTTTTACTCCTCAGCTTAGAACCATCCCAGGGCTCCTCACCGCACAGAGCAGAATCTCAGTCCTAACGGCCTCTGATGCTTGCCATGGTCTGGCCTCTGATCCCTCTCTGATTTCATCATTCCCCTGCTCCAGCCACACTGGACTCCTGGCTGTTCCTCCAGCACCCCAGGCGTGTCCATTTGCTTTGGGGCCTTTGCAGTGCTGTTATCCTTACTTGGGGCATTTTCCCCAGGCAAGCACAAGCTCACTCTCTCACTTTCAAGTCTTTGTCCCAGAGTCACCTACTGCAATGACCTTATTTAAAAATCACTACCTACCAACTTTCATCCTGTTTACTTTTTTCCTTAGCAATTATCACTTTGAGCAAAGTGTGTGTGTTTGTGTGTGTGTGTGTGTGTGTACACTGTCTTTCCCATAATGAAATGTAAGCTCCACAAAGGTAGGATTTTTGTCTCTTTTGTTCACTGATATATTCCAAGTACCTTGGCACACCGTAGGAACTCAACAAAAATTTGTTGACTACATGAATGAACCTGAACCCAGTATTCTGAGATCACCTACTACTTACAGTGAATCCTGAAAACAAAAATACTGTTCTTCATCCAAGTTTCCCAGGCCTTCCCAGCCAGTTAGAGTGATGCTTCTCTGCCTCAGTGTCCTGGCTCTGAGTGCCACATGCCAAGCTCACTGGAGCCCCCAGAGCAGCACTGACCCAAGTTTTTCACACAGACATCACTGCTACAAGGAGCAGGACATAAAAGGTAAAGGAAGGCCCAAGGCACCACCAGCAACAACATTTTCAAGTTTGGACAATGTTTAAGTTTTACAAATTTTAATAAAGTAGGGAGAGGAAGAGTGAAGGATGAGAGGTGTTGGGTGCCTTCTTCTGGCAGAGCCAGGTGGCCTTGCTCAGCACCTGGAAGTGAGAGAGCCAGAAGAACAGGTCACCGTGGAACAACTGCGTTGGGATGGGTGCTGGGCACCGTGATGCAATAATTCGCCCACTCCCCCGTCTTCTCTATCTCCTCCAAAAGATAAGCAGCCAGTCCTGACAACAGGAAACCATACAAAGCAACTCTCTAGACTATTCTATCTGTATCTCAGGTCCGAGAAAAAGCAACTCATCACCACAGTGATCGGTTGTTCCCAGAATCCTGAAGCAGAGGTGTATATAGGAGATAAATGACAGCTCTCCCTGAAATTCATTTTGGGTTGCCACCTGGATCAGGTGTTTATTAGAGTCATTAAAATCATGCGGCCAGGGGCCAAATCTAGCCTTTGAGTGGGAAGATTCAAGCTTTCTCACTGCCAAACGAGTTTAGGCAGGTACACTAGTGCCATAGCTATCAGCTTATTTGGGACATGTAAGCGGAGAGGCACGCACCCAATTCATTTCCTGATGCGTGACTGCTCCCCAGCCCGCCCCCAAACTGACGCAATGGAGCCCGAGCCAGCTTTTAAGGAGCAGGCCTGGGAAGAGGCCCTCAGAGAGCTGAGGCCCAGCGCTGGGACTTGCATCCTCAGTGCACCGAGCAGGAGCGGCAGCAGCAGCGTGAGGACCAGCGAAGAGGTGAGGAGACTGAATGGAGAAGAGATGGGCTCTGACAAAATGAGAGTGCACTCCAGCGAGTGACAGGATGGACAGAGGAGGGACTCCATGGGGGGGGATGGGGACAGGCATCGGGGCAAGAAAAAGTGATGCTGGGGGTGGAGGCACAAGATGGGGATACGGAGGAGCCGGGGATGGGGTCATGGAGGGGATGAGACAGAAAAGGATAGGAGCACAGGGACACAACCAGGATGGGACTTGGAAGAGAGAAGACAGAACAAAGTGGGAGGCAAGAGGGCCAGAACGAAGGAAGGTGGGGATACAGGGTGAGGGAGATGGGGCATAGGGTTAGGGGTTGGGGTCACAGTAGGGATGGCACAAAAGGGGGAGAAAGGGGTGAGACCCCGGGGTGAGAAAGGGAAGGGAAATGGTGATTAGGTAGAAGGAGCAGAGACAAGGAGGCTCGTGTCTCAACTAAACCCCACCTGCTCTCTGCCCCCAGGGACCTAGCCCTCCATTCTGACTATTCCCCCCAAGAGAGATGGCTCCAGCCAGAGCAAGATTCTGCCCTCTGCTGCTGCTCCTGCTGCTGGGGCTGTGGGTGGCCGAGGTCCCAGTCAGTGCCAAGCCCAAACACATGACCTCAGCTCAGTGGTTTGAAACCCAGCACGTGCAGCCCAGCCCCCAGGCATGCAAAGTGGCGATGGGCAAGATCAACAAGCACACGAAACACTGCAAAGACTTCAACACCTTCCTGCACGAATCCTTCCCCAGTGTGGCCGCCACCTGCCATGCCCCCGTCACAGCCTGCAAGAACGGCAAGAAAAACTGCCACCGGAGCAAAGGGCCCGTGTCCCTGACCAACTGTCAGCTCACCTCGGGGAAGTACCCAAACTGCAACTACAAAGAGAAGAAACTGAAGGCTTCTTACATCATAGCCTGTAACCCTCCCCAGAAAGGGGACTCTGGAAAATTCCACCTGGTTCCTGTGCACTTGGACAAAGTCATTTAGGTGTCCAGCCTTTCTCCCTCTTGGGCTGTGCTCTCATTTCCTCTCCAGGCCTCTGCACCGCTCCTCCTATGCACAGAAGGTTCTCTTCCCTTCATTTCTTGGGGCCTTTCCTAGCTCAGGATTTTCTGAGGAGCAGCTGAGGTCTATACTTTGTTGGACTAAACTCCAGAAGAGATGGTCTTTTATCTTTTCGTTGCTCTTTTCCCAGAAACCTATCCCAGGAGAGGAGCTGAGCAAGCTCAGGGGCGGGGGCTCCCTGGTCTGTGCCTGTACGGCCTCCCCTGCCCCACCTGTCATGGCAGCAAGGCAAGAGGGGGAAATCCGTGCGAGAGGGGGTGCGTGGGATTTACGGACAGAGCTCTTTCTGTTCCTAATAGAAATCTTCCCCAGCTCTGACGTGGCAGTGAGGTGGCCTCTGTGCAGACAAACAGCATTGCATGTGTTTCGTGGTGTAGCCACAGGAGTCCCCTGTGGCATAGACTTGATGACTTGCCTCCTGTAGGGATGAGGAAATTGAGATTTCAGCAAGCACGATTAATTAAAGGACTTGCGAAATTGGTTAGTAGCAGCACCTGGACTTGAACCTAAGTTCCCCCCCTTCCTCTATGTACGGTGCACTTTCTACTTTACCATTTGGCAAAAAAAGGAGAGACCTCTGCAGGGACAAGAGAACTAGATAAGAGGTCGCCCATGAAGAAATGTACCCTGAGAGCCCTGAAGAGCCAGTTACTCTGCCTTGACTGCAATAAAGGTCATTACCTCTCTAGCCAAGAGACTGTTTAGGAGGTGCTCAAGTTATCTTCATTCATTCTTTCTCTCTCTGCCTCCCTAACTGTCCTCCCCTTCCTCCAGCACACTCCTTTTCCAACCTGGGCCCTGGGCCTGTCTCTGGCTAGATCCCCTCGGCCTGAAGGTGTAGAATGAGGTGAGTACCCCAGTTTCACCCCCTTGCTCCAGGTCACATTTCCCTTGACCTCAAGGGACTTCCGTGGCCCAGAGCCTGCTTGTCACAAACAGGCTGGTGGGAGCTGCCAGAGCTTCCTTCCTCCTGATAATCATCTCTCCTGCCTCGGTGCTTCCCTGACTCTTCACTCTGGCAGTCAGCCCAGGCCATTGAGGTTGAGATGTGAAAATGCCACCCCCCTGTCCCCCTGGGCTGCAGACACCATTTCTCCCTCCCTAGTAAGCAGAGCTGGAGAAGCTGTGGCTCTATGTTGCCTGGTCCTGATAGCCTCTCCGGCATTGCCCGCAGCCCCTTCTCTCTCCCTTTATCTCAATCCCAGACAAATGGCACCATGCCCATACCAGCCTGCCTGCCCTCCTTCAGCACCCAGTTAAGTTGTTATACCTTCCCTCCCCAGCTGGGGAGTCTACTCTCTACCTAACCCTCCTAACAAGTCTAGTCCTCCTTGACTTCTCACCAGAGTTAGAGGAAGCTTTGGAGCCAGATGGAATTGAATGTCAATCTTGGTTCAGCCGTTCATGGCTATGTGACCTCGAGCCAACTACCGAACCCCTCTGTAGCTGTTTCCACTGAGCAAAATGGGAGCAATACCACCTACCCAAAAGCATTGCAGGGAGATTTAGACATGACGTTTATAAAGCCTCAGTCTCAAGCAGCGGTGGGCACTCAATAATGATAATTAGTAGTAGCCGTGGTAGTAGTAATAGAAATGTTCCTGTCCAGTCATATCCACCTTTGGCAAGTGCGCAGACCAAAACAAATACTGCACTCAATTCTCCTGAGGGCTTTCTTCTGCTGGCACAATGTTCATGAGTCGGCTAGAGGACTAGTCTGCAGGCAGAGTCCTGTTAGGGGGACTGGGTGGTTTGAGAACATGAGGAAAGAAGGTAGGGAAGGGATGGTCAAGAGAAAGGAGAAAAGAACATTGAACAATTCAAGCAGAGTGTGGGGCCAGTAAGTTAAGTCTAAAGTAGAGATGCAGCCTGGCCGGGCGTGGCTCAGAGGTTGAGCGTTGACCTAGGAACCACGCGATCAGGGTTCGATTCCCGGTCAGGGCACATGCCCGGGTTGTGGGCTGGGTCCCCGGTTGGGGGCATGCAGGAGGCAGCTGATCAATGACTCTCTCATCATTGATGTTTCTCTATCTCTCTCTCTCCTTCTCCTTTCCTCTCTCTGAAATCAATAAAGATTTTTTTTTTTTCTTTTTAATCACCTTTGGGAAGGAGTAAGAGGTAAGATGGACATGCTCTTTCTTGATCTGGATAAGTTTACTTTGTGAAAAGTCATTGAGCTGTATTCAAGATTTGTGTACTCACTGTATGTAAATTATACCTCAATAAAAAAAATCCTCCTAAACAGTATAGTTCTTATGGAGTATTTTATTTAACATGATACATGCTAATACAGTGATCAATTCTACAAAGATTATGATATAATGAAATTATAGATAGAATTATGATATCTAATTTTTATTGTTTTGCCTTATGCCATTTATTAAATGAAATAGTATTTGTATTATTTATTAAATTGTTATAAATACTTTTGGTTCAAAAAGCATATAAGGTTCTTCCTAAAATAACCCAGCCAATACATTCTCTCCTATTATTTATATTGTCAACTAATTTTCCCAATTTTTTAATTGTCCCAATTCTTAATTGTCTTGTGTATAAGTTTTTATAACCATTAATTTATTACAGCACTTTTCTTAAAATAAAATACATTTATACTTCCACTGAGTGATAGAATTTCAACATTTTTAAGTTTGTAAGGAAAATTTCACTCCAAGTTTCATCTAGAAGGCTCACCACTATTTGAAAATGGCTATTCAGATATTAATAATAAATTGAAATTACTGGCCTTGTTCTCATTACTGATGCTTTAACTGATTAGGTTTGACAGTCACCCATTCCTTCACATGCTCTTGATCACAGCCAAATTCAGGGATGCCAGGAACAGTGTTGAAATAGGCATTTGGCTATTCAGCCTTCCAAAGGTCAAGGCTGAGGTCCAAAATAGATAACAGGTTAGAGTCAACACACCAAAGCTGGCTGAACCTGATGCATTATTACCTTAAAACTGAAAAATAGCAAGAGAATAATGACTAGTTATGAGGCATTTCTGTTGCTGGAGGTGGGAGCTTGGAAAGGGAAAAAGAGTGTCTAGGGAAGTATTGCCCAACCTTGCATAGAGAGCTGTAAAGAATTCTTTGGACCTGGCCCCAAGGAGCAGAAATAAAATTCAGTAAAAAAATTAACCTAAGAGCTGGAGCTAGAATGAGTTAGCTTTCCAAGGAGTGAGGTTGAAGTAGACTAGGCAGGAGACTTTTCTAGTTGATGTTAGTTCTCCCAGTCTCCACACTCTGAAGTAAATGAACCACAGACACTATGAAAAGGGCCAACTGGGTCAATGTGAGAAAAGTCCTGCCCTGGCCAGTGTGGTTCAGTTGGTTGGAGCATCGTCTCGTGCACGGAAGGGTCTCCATTCAATTCAGATCAGGGCATATACCCAGGTTTGATCTCCTGTCAGGGTGTATGTTTCTCTCTCATGTCAATGTTTCTCTCTCTCCCTCTCACTTCCTCTCTAAAATCAGTTTTAGAAAGAAAGAAAGAAAGAAAGAAAGAAAGAAAGAAAGAAAGAAAGAAAGAAAGAAAGAAAGAAAGAAAGAAAGAAAGAAAGAAAGAAAGAAAGAACCTGATCTCAAGGGCAGGATGTAAGAAGAAGAAATGCCCTTGAGATCAGCACCCTTCTCCTCACATTGATTCACTTTGCCCTCTTCATGGTGTCTATAGCTATAGAGGAGATAATCCTAGAGCTATGGCAGGAGAAAACATATCCATAGCAGCAACATTCAGGAAACCTTCTCTTTGAGAGAGTCTTGGCCCATTTTATCACATTTCTCCTATGCTCCCGCACAACTAGGCCTCCAAGAGAGCTTCAAAGACTTCAGATCGTCACTCTTTCAAAGTCCTTCTCCTACCCCCATTTCACCATGGAGAGGTAGAAAGAGCAGTTACAGGTCTTACCAGGATGTTTACCTGTGCAGGACTCCAAAGCCCATAAGCTTGGGAGAATCCATGAAAGCACAGGGGCATGAGAAAATATTGCTAATGAGGCTTCGTAGGAAGGTCACAGTTCATGAGAGGGGAGGTAAGGAAAGTTGTCTACCCATAATGGAAATATGCACTATGATGGAAATGGGAATTTTAGAGAGATGGGAATTTTCTCATCTACATAAGTGTAACTTAGTTCATAGGAATATTATGTAGATCAAATGTGACAATACCCATAAAGCATTTAGTACAGTGGCTGGCATGTAGGAAAAGTTTGAGAGGTGTTATCATTTATATTTATTACTGCAATGTCAAGTGTTGAATGGCGGAACCTATGATGGATGGAGCAGGCCTGCCTTCCGTGACAGAAGAACAAAAAATTTAAACAAAGAAGACCAAACTCTTCCTCATTCCCCTTGCCAAAAAAGCTCCTAGCCAAGAACAGATAAACTAAGGCTCAAGGTCAGACAAAAAGACAAAAACATTTCAAACTGTAAAAAATTTTTTAAAAAAATTTTAAAAGGCAATTTGAATTTTTCGGAAGACTCCATCAGACAGTCTTATTTTATGTAAAATTAATGCTTTCCTTTCTCTCACCCAAAAATAGTTTTAGTGGAATTAAGAGAGATTTATCTCATGGCCTTGTGTACTCTGGGCACATATCTGCATTCAGCAGGAGTACTCAGGCCTTGATGAGGTTTTTCTTCACTTTCTCTCCATGGGTGTGGCTCTGACCAGTATTTTTCTTCAAGAATTGGGTGACAAAAATAAGATAATCATGGGGCCAGGGCAGTAGGGAAGTCCTTCACATGTTTAAAAAAAAGAAAGAAAGAAAGAAAGAGAGAGAGAGAGAGAGAGAGAGAGAGAGAGAGAG